GGATAGTCCTAACTGCAAGCCACGCCTATCACTCCGCACATTGTCACTGCATGATCTCATCCGCAAGTGAATTTGGTATAGCAAAATTATGGCGCCTCACAAAAACTTGTTCAAGTTCGCCTCACCGGCGAAAATCGATGCTTTAGACTGAAGTGTACACATAACCTAGCATTGAGATAACATCATTGACTAGCACATTCTGCTGAATCCCTGCAAGCGAGGCGGTGAGATGAGGTTTTAGGCCTGTCCACCTGCTCAGTTGCCCGCATCCTCTTGTTGGGTACCCCAGTGCTAAATGCAGCAAGGAACCCCGGATTTGGTTTGCCTGGTCAACTTGTACTGATGGATTAAAGGTGGTGCGCAGTACAAGTTTCACAAGTAGGGAAAGACACAAATAGCATTTCCGGCATTGAGCTCACAAAGCTTTTCATTGTGCTTTGATGATTTTTCTTCAACCACGATCGACCTGTCTTCCCGTGCTTTGCGTTGGTACAGACTGCATATCCTGCGTCTGGAAATGCGAGGACTCGACTTTTGTACGGGGTCCAACAGCATATAAGGACGCAAGATCTCCTCCAAATCCTGAGGCAATGAAACGCTTACGAAAATTCGAGCTCTGCAAACACCAATTCCTCATCCCCAATCGACAAACACTTGATTGTGTGTCTATCACTCCAAACGCACCTCACAGAATACCATCTCTTTAGGAAAATACCAACTCCTCCAGAATGAACTCATTCAACAGTGCTGGTTCTTTGCCAATCAACACTGCCGCATCCCAGATCTCCATTGTGGACGTCTTCTTCCCCGGCTTCACTGGCATCTCGGCGTCCGTACAGCAACTCCTAGCTGGTGACCTGAACAGCTATGCTCACGTTCTGTGCTTCTGCGGCATGCTCCTGTTCTTGGGTAGATATGCCGTCCGTTACTTGACGGACTTGATGGAGACCTATTTCAGTTCGTGACTCTTCCCTCTAATGATAACTCTTTCTAACCATCGACAGCTTCGACCGTCCACGTCTCCTACTACAACGAAGCGTACGACATGCTCATCGCCTGGGTATCCACCCAGCCCTTCGCCCATAAGGCTCGCTCTTCGCTCGCAAGTATCGGCGGCATGCAAAGAAGAGCATATGCTGATGATCTTTCAAATGAGTACAAGAAAAAACCTTTGCGCTTTACACCTTGGAATGGATCATTCTTATTCGTGTACAAGAACCATCTGCTCCGGTTCCAGTGCGTGGCAAAAGAGACCAAGGAAGAGATCTCCATTTCCTGCATCGGCGGATCGTCGCAAATCCTGAGAGCACTCCTTAGTGATTGCCGAGCTGAGTATCTTAAACTTATCCAGAGAAAGACTACAGTCTTTGAGCATCATGATGGTGAATGGAGGAAGGCGAAGGCAAGAGACATCAGACCAATCTCGACAGTCATCATGGATGAGGGCGAGAAAACGGCCCTGTTGAAAGATATCGAGGATTTCCTGGACGAGCGAGCTCGGGGCTGGTATGCAAGGCGCGGGATTCCCTATCGAAGAGGGTTCCTGCTGTATGGGCCTCCTGGAACCGGGAAGTCCAGTTTCAGCTTATCTGTCGCCGGGCGTTTTGAGCTAGATATCTATGTACTCAATCTTTCGAGCATCGACGACAGCCGCCTAAGCAGTTTGTTTGCCCAGCTTCCCCCGCATTGTGTCATTCTCTTAGAAGATATCGATGCTGCTAGTACTGCACGAACGGAAGACAGTGAAACGACGAAAAACACTGGCCAGGCCGCGGTAGGCCCTTCACAGAAGAGCAAGTCTCAGGGAAATGTATCTCTGTCCGCGCTTCTTAATGCCCTGGATGGCGTGTCTTCGCAGGAAGGTCGATTGCTGATTATGACGACAAATCACATCGAGCGTTTGGATGACGCACTCATCCGCCCTGGCCGCGTGGATAGACAGGTTTTGTTTCAGCTCGCTGATCACAAAATGAGTTCTCGTCTTTTCTGCACGGTTTTCAAGCGGTCAGATGGGGATCAGCGCACTGCAGGAAAGGAGTTCGATGATGAAACAATTGAGCGACTTGCGGATGAGTTTGCCGCCAAGGTTCCGGACCAGGTATTCAGCCCAGCTGAGATCCTGCTATCGTTCCTGCTTGAACGCAAGCAGTCGCCTACCGACGCAGTGGCTGATGTGGAGAATTGGGTTGCCAAAACCAGCAAAGAAAGGGGAAAGGTGAAGAATTACGCCAGGGCACGAGCAACTGCCAACCCCACTGACTCTTTCGAGGATCTTGCGGAGAGTTCCCAGGCTCACAACGCTTGATCCATCGCGGAAGCCTGACGCCGCTTCTTAGCGGCTAAAGCTTAATTTACCCGTTTGGGGATTCCTATTACAGACTAGCTCAATACAGCTCATCCCTGGTTAACAATCCGACCCCTCCACATCCAACAAGAGGCAAGGCTTGGCCGTTTCTTGGCGTATGGAAGTGCGTGTTTCAATTTGTGCATTTCTGCAAATTCGATTTCTATATTTATGTACCTTTCATTCAGATTAACGAATTCCATCTTCCCGGACGGTGTACTTTCGAATAGGACACTTCCAGCTTTTTTTAACATGTTTCTTCACCTTCTGGCTTTTTTAGTGTAGTTGTTGCCAGATCTCAGCATACCCGGCCCCAATTCAGGACCGCCAATCCCAGTTAATTCAGTCATTAATTTATGGTTTTTTTTTATGTTTATGCTTTTTCTTTTTTCTTTTTGACTTTTGGCTTCTTGGCTTTCGTATTTTCTTTTAGCATAAATGGTCAGATCGCGTGGCCGAGTGGAAAATTGAATCAAAATGGTGAAGGCCATGGTTTCGGATTGCAAATCATGGCCATGTTTTCGGATCGCGTGGCCGAGTTTCAACCGCGAATCAAAATGGTGTGGACCACGGTTTCAGATCGCAGACCGTGGCCCAAGAATGCAAGCGCCGCGACACCCGACAGAAGTACACCTTCAAAAAGCGACCTTTGGCTCAAAAAAGCACAACACTCGCTCGTAGCTATAAATTGAAACCTCACCCCATATATCAAGTGACAATAATGAAGTCCCAGATCTTTCACCTACACTGGAATTAAATGCTACACCATGCAAACATCAGACTCAAAGCGTGTCAAGAAGCCATGGACTGTGCACAGTAGCCTCGTGCAGATGCGTTATCGACGGAAAGGCACGCTGCAGCGTATGCTGCGTAGCTACTTTGATAACTGTCGCTGCAAGGGCGTCTACCTCCTCATCCATGAAGACAACCGGTACTTTACGATTAATTTTAACAAGTCTGATGCTTCGAACAGCCACTTTCCACCACCAGACAAAGATATAGTGAGTGACATGTCTGGTACAACCCTGGAAAAAAACGTAGCTCTTACAGAAACAGGAGAAACATTATCCCCCCCCATCCCGAACAACGAGTGAGAACTACATGAAATATCAGAAGTCTAGAGCGGGGAAGAAGGGAAAGCAAGTGACACGAGCAGATTTGAGATAAATGAAAGATTTTGTTTGTTGTAAATTACAATGAATTCGAAACCATCACTAAGCTCTTTTTGAAACGTAAATCTACTCTAAGCTTTATTGGCTGCTTTCGCAAGTCTGTGTCATGATGCAGCCGCCGAATCTACAATCTCATAAATTCAAACACACTCAGTGCTTGCTGAACCCTAAAATTCCAAGAATCGATAAGATTTCAAGTTGGTCTTTCCACCTCAAGGACTGTCATTATCTGTGGCCGTTCACTTAAAAAATATGACAACCCCCATGGCATCTTTTCTGTGGCTTTTTCACTCAGCATGGCGCCATCCCCTGATGGGTGTTGGCTCCTTACGGGCTTTTAATTTCGTGGCCTTCTCTACTGAGGTTATGGCGTCCCTCAGGGATTTTACTCCGGTGGCTAATAGTTCAAAAATGTGGCATTCCCAAGGGGCTTTACTTCCCGAGGGGAGCTGACACCACATGGGATTTCACTTTTTGTTGCCCTTTCACTCAGAATTCTGGCACTCCCCAAGGGGCTCACTTCCCCAAGAATGCCAACTCCGCATGGGACTCGCCTCCTCAAGGAGCTCACTTCCTCAGGGATGCTGACACCGCATGGGACTTCAGTTTTTGTTGTCTTTTCACTCAGAATTCTGGCACTCCTCAGGGATGTCGGCGCCGCATGGGGTTCCGTTTTATTGCCGTTATGTACAAGTTCGTGACACTCCCTAAGGGTTCGCCTTCATCAGCATTCTTGCAAATTCCCTAACTTCCCGTAGGGAACTATAGTTTTGGTCGTGGGGCACCACTTCACTGACTCCCGGGGGGAAACCATATTAGGGCGTTCCCGGCAGATGGGCAAGACGTGGAGCAACCCACTGCTTCAGTATCACCTAATTAATGCAACAGAAGGCAGATGGATAAATGACTGTGTATTATAATATCAAATAAAAAATGAGCGGTTTGACATCACATCTTCCGTTAATTGCGTGTTGATGGTCGAGGACGTAATGTGCTCAGACGATTCTTTCGTAGCATCGCCTTCTCCCTTTGTTGTTTCTCCTCCTTGCTTCTCTTTCGTTTCTCCTCCTGCTTCCACAACTGGAGCCTCGCATTTTCAGGGAGCCAGTTGTCTGGGAGATATGTTCCCACCACATAAAACACATGGTGACCATATTTATTATTTCGCCATAATTTATCTCCGACATGATAAATCTTAAGGCTCTTTTCAACCTGCTGCGCCCCATACCAATAGGGAAGATTCTCCAATTCATCATGGGCCAACGGTTCTGTCGTAGCCCCAGAATCTGAGATATTGTTCCAGCCGTCTGGTTCGATACCACCAGGAGGCTGGGGCTGGTTATTTGAGGTCCTGTCAACAGACAGCCGCTCGGGCGGGACGTTAAGGGGGGCTGCAGTCTTAGATGAGAAATCTATGTAGAAGGATGGAGATAGGGTATCATTAAACCCTTACCGGAGGCATAGGTTTGATAGGGCACCTTCTGGAGAATGTCACCCAACACCGCGCAATAAGCTGGGAGAGTGGATTGTTGCGCACCAGGCGACAAAAGTTGACTGGGTAATGGTGGAGGATTCTCGGTTCCTTGTCTATCCATGCCGATAATGTGCAGAGATGCAGAGTAAGGGGAGAATATTTAAAGCAAGAGATGCGAATATTTGAAGTAGGAAAAAGATTTGGAGAAGGGCGAAGGCTGAATGAGAGGGGAAGAGCCTTTTATAGCCCTTTATACCTCAGCCCCATGTTGGTTCGCCTGGCCGCACTGTCTGTCAGCAATCCATTCCACCTGGTCCTTAACTCCTGAAGGGAACGCCAGGGCGGGCTGACCCGATACCCATCTCGCTGCGCCCTCTCGCAAAAAAGAGCACAGGGGTGAAGTCAGGGATGCTTCTGCACTGGTTCAGGCGCAGATGATTAGCTGCGGGTGTAGTTCCGTCTTTCCATTACATGCCAGCCTCATGTCCCTCGCCTTATCGACTGGAGGAGAGGATCGAACAGTTTGCCAACGTATCAGGAGGGTCGGTACGGGGGGGGGTCCTTGCCAACTGGTCGATTTTGGCTGGATGAGAGCCCAAGATATATATATATATATATCTTGATCTGACGCCTACCTTGCTGCGCCGTTTGGAGAAGCCGGCATGAATGATAGGGCCAAAGGATGAGCTGCATTTTGGATTTCCCTTCATTTTGCTTTCGTGTATAAAGCCCCCTATAGGGTTGCCAAACCGCACTCATGGGGGTGTGTATCACAAAATGATAAGCCTCGATGCAGGTCGCGCCTCGGATATTGCTTCATGGCTTCGCCTCTGTGCTCGAGCTCATGGATGTCTCGGCTCTAAGCGAAATCACCAACAGGCGCACTTTTTGACTGGCACACATGGTTGGGTTAAGTTCGGCCGTCCTCGTGCATGCCACCCCAGTGCTCCTTGTCCCCGGGCTTAGCGGTTTGTCGATTCGACTTCCTGGCGCATGGCCAGGGGGAAAAGGGGGGCCTGAATGGGTTGACTGGCTGATAATCGCTGGACGAGAGCCCATGTTAGCATGGGGGTGGTGGCCACGCGCACTTTTGCGTTGGCCCACGCCATCAATGCAACATTCCCCGGTTCGGCGGCTTCTTCGCTGTGAATGATTGGCGATCCACGGAAGACGCATCTCAGCTACTATTTTTCCTACCCTCCTCGATTAGCCTCGACCTATTTTTGTTCGCAAGCGGGGGTTTGATCGTGGGACATATAAGGACCTCCAGTGCCTCCTGGATCGAGATCGAGGGGAGAAGAGCATCCCATCATCTCACCTCACAACATGGCTACCTTCACGTACGATACCACCTCCCCTGGACCTGCCGACGGTTCTCCCTCGCCTCAGCTGCACACAGTGCACCTCCTGGAAGCATGCACTCCTGATCCTCGGTCAGACGAAGAGCCCCAGCACCTCCTTCCAATGCCCATGCCCGTGCCCCTCTTCCCTGCGTCCGGTGACCTCTCTAAGGATGCAGCAAGTGAGGAGTTTGCTGATTTTTCTGCCCTGCCATCCACCGTCTCTGGTCTCGATGACATTAACTGGGACGAATGGATCCTGTTCGACTCCTCCCCGGTCGATGTTACCCCACCATCACTCCAACTGTCGGATTTTTCCGACGACCCCATCGAGGAGGCTCACCCAAGCCCAAGTGATGTTGCCGATGACCCACCCAATCGACGAGAGCCAACCCCTCCCCTGGCCTCAGACAATCGCGAAGGCAACACATTAAAGGAGCCGTTGAATTACTCCGATGGTTCCATCGAGGTTGACCCACGCCCGGGCGAGGAGCGCCACGTCCAAGTCCACCGATCAGAGCAAGTTATCCCCCTGGTGTCCGGCCGTTGGGAAGGCGATGTGTTGGGGGAGACGCTGGATAATCAGGAATGCATTATTTTGCCCCTTTCTCAGGTGAAGATTCTGAAGCTGGTGTATAAGCGAGACGGGGATGAGATGTACCAGATAGTAGGACGGATAGATTTACAAGAAACACGCGGATATGGCACACAAGGAAAGCCGTGGCAGTGCTTGGGTTCTGCTGGTAAGGCTCAGTACCTGCTCTGTGGAAAACATTTCTCACTTCTCACACCTCACTCACTCTCGCAGAAGACCCAATCATCATCGACGAGCCAATGAGTCCCAACCTGCTGAGCGACTCCGATCCGTTTGTCGCCATCCCATCCCTTCAACGGAATATAGAGAAGGTTCCAGGAGGTTACAAGGTGTATGCCAATATGACATTGGACGATTTGCAGGAGCTTGGAGGGTTGGAATTGTTGGCAGTTTACTACTCCCGGAATAATGAACGTCGCCGAACAAGGTCACGTGGATTATGTCAGCGCTGATGCAGGGAGAATGGCTCAACCTTTCCATTTCTAGTTAGTTAGCTGCTTAGATTTGTTTTGTACCAATAGTTGACCCAGGAAAAACCCCCTAATTGAAGTCTCACAAACGGTCTCTTTAAAAATATATTTCCCTCACAGGGGAGAAGGCACTAACTGTTCTTTTAAAAAGCTCGTACAAGTAGTGTTTGGAAGGGGCAAGCAATACCTCAAAACTAGAACAGAACCACAACCAACGATGATGTTTCTAACGCTGACTAAAAAAAAAAGGAGAAAACAGCTCTACCTAATCCTAATAGCTCTTGAGAATACCGGTGATAGAACTACGACACTTTGGACAGTCATCGCCAATGGCAGCACGAAGGCATCTTGTGCAAAACCGATGTCCACACGGCAGAAGGGTCCTCCACTCCGATGGGATACTATAGCAGATCTCACATTCAAATCGATGCTTCAACTCCCGGAGTTTAGTCTCAAGCTTGGCCATCTCTGCATGCAGACGCTGCACTTCTTCTTCCAGCTTCCTTCTCTTCGCACGCTCCACCTCGAAAATAGTATGGATTTTCCGGTTCGCACTTTCCTATCTCGATATCAGCGAGGAAGAAGCCCCATCAAGTCCCACAAAGAAGGTCTTACCAAAGTCATGTCGAGGTTAGATATTTTTTGTTTTTTCAGTGGCTGCTCCATTTCGGACTTCAGAGAATCAGAGGTCGCCAAATCATCAGATTCATCATCAGCCGGATAGCTGTAGTCTGTGCGTGGTCTCTTCCTTTGCGACCTTCGCGTCCTTCGCGCCAGGGGCTGTTCGTCCGTTTTTTCGTCTGAAATGATGATCACAGTGCGAAGATTATCGGCTGATGCCATAGCTGAGAGATGGAAAGATGGCCGTGTCGCGGATCAGCAAAGTGGAATGACAAAGGGCTCTAGAGAGAGGAAACGGGTTCTGTTATGTCCACCCAGTCGTCTTTGGGTACGCAAGGGCTTCGCGGCGGGTTTCGGTCGACGGTGTAGGATGGGAGGTGGAAAAGGAATTGAAAGAGAGATGAATCCGAGGCGGGAAGGAGCCCATATATATACCCAGGGCGGGGAAAGTGATCACGAGAGTTCAGGCAGTGCAGCCTCCTGCTGGAGTTTTCGTTGGCGTCAACACCCCCTTAAAAACTGTATCTGTACCCGAGGGCTGAAGTCCAATCAGGCCAGAGGCACAGTGGCAGAAGAAGGTTGACAAAAGGCCAGGGACTACATCATGTGGTCACTAGCACAATGACCAAGGGAAAGGGTGCTATGGCCAGTGCTTAAGGACATGTGCAGTAGGTCCACTGACCTAGGTTGCCATGCTGGAGGCAGGAGCCAATAGGCCTGACGGGTCCATGGAACGCGGTCCATGGACCCGGTAGGCCTAAAGACGGCCAACTTGTGGCCATGCTGGCCTGTGGACGGTGGAGGCCATTGAATCGATTTCTGTGGTCCTGTGGCGACCAAGGACCGGTAGCCAGACCGAATTTACTCGCCAAAGCAAGCGCAAGGCTGGTTTTCCCAGTCCCAGGGGGTCCACTGATGGGTCCGTTCTTGGGGCGCGAGCCGATTGTTACTGCGGTCCTTTTTGGAAAAGTGGCCCTGGGGGCACTGCTCTCCCTGGGGACACCGCTCTCCTCGTCTGGCCAGTCCATACTTCTGAGAATTATCGACAGTTTGGAAAGGGCCAATTCACAGGGCCTCGATGTCGAATTCTACTGGATCCCGGCGCACCATGGTATCGAGGGGAACGAATTGGCAGATAAACTCGCAAAGGAGGCGACTGGATGCAAACAACGACATGGTAGGAGAGGAAAGCTGATCACAGTAGACACTGATGATGCCGCAGCCACACCTGACTTCCTAAGACATCTGATATCAGCGGCGAGGTCGGAACTAAATCGCCAGACCCAGGAGCGATGGGAGCATGACTGGGAACATGAGACAACGGGACGAGCTACCTTTACGCTGACTCCAACTCCAAGCTCTACTGTCCTTCAACTACACGATTCCTTACACAAGGTTCTCAGTTCCACAATTGTCCAGATGCGCACCGGCAAGATCGGACTACGACAATTTTTATATGAGAGGAAAGTGCCAGACATTACTGACACCCTATGCGAATGCGGGAATGGAAACCAGACAGTACGGCACGTCCTCCTGGCGTGCCCTAGGTTCAACAGCCTCAGAGCGGCAACATGGAAAGACGGCGATGGAAGAAGGGAAAGATTGGATCTCAGGGAGATCCTGACCAAGCCTAAGCTAGCTAAGAAGGCCGCAAGATTCATGATCTTAACTAGACTCCTCGGGCAATATGGAGCAATTTCAGGAGGACGAAATACGCTAAGGCACGCACTGAGTTCTTTCCGGTTTATAGGACAAACAGGAGTCAGGGGACCCGCCGGGAGGACCTTTGCCTACCATCTAGACTGTATAGCTGATGGATATTAGCTATAGATACCCATCGTCTGCATATGCTGCGGAAAGCGGCTGGGTCCGGACGTTAAATTTGATA